TATTTATATTTTATAAATTTAAATTTTTTTAAAAAAAATTTACATTTTTTAATTTTTTTTTAATTTTAAAAAGACTATAAATAATGAAAACTTAAAAGTTTAAAATTTTTATTTTTCATAAATTTTTTTTACTCATTTTTTTAAATTTAAAAGTAACTTTTAAATTTTTTTAATAAAAATTTAAATTTATTATTTATAAATAATATTAAAAAAACAAAAGTTTCCGATAAACTAAACTAAACAGGCCTAAGATAGACAAATCCTTTAAATTTAACATTTCACACGACGGTACGTTACGTCACATTGTCCCTTAAGTAATCTGTAAACTCCAAACTTAGCTGCCCAACTTTTGCATGCTGGACACTTACGTGGTCCACTTTCCACCACCGTGGCACTTTCTCCTCCTTTTTCATCTGGGCCCTACTACAAAGGGGGCTTTCCTCCTCTTATTAGGCCTTGATATAAGGCCTTGGTATAAAGATAACATTTAATAATTTTTTACTATAATTTCTTTATATATTATTAAATATATATATTTAATATTATAAATTTACTAACATGGTTTATACTATATTATTTCTCTTAAATTTTCATCCTTTATATCACTACTCTTCTAAAAAAATACTTGAAGCATTAGTTTGGAACAATATAACCATTAATATATATAGGATCCATTAAATTAAAAAAGTTTTTTCTAAAAAAAATTATATAATATCTTTTAAAAGTTTAATATTTTGCTTTTGTTAAGCCAATCCTTTTAATCATATTCCCATAAAAATAAAAATAAAAATACTTGGGACGAAGAAATTTTCAAACATTAATTCTGAAGTGATCTTCAATGAAAAAGAAACTTAAAAAAGGACTAAAGTGATGATATGAAACAAAATATTTAATGATAAAATTGATAACCATAAAACTCGAAGAACCAAATTAAAAATTTTACAATACCTAGGGGGCGTTTGACAAAACGCGGCGGAGGCAAAGCTAGTGGTACAAGATATTGATTTGGAATTATGATTATCAAGTTATTAGAACATTCTAACAGTTAATAAATCGGAAAAGCTTTTTTAACATTTTGACTTGTAAGAAAAAAAAAACATAAATACCTATAAAATTATTTCACCGATATTCATGTACTATTTTGTTTTTTCAAATTGACTTGACAATTTGTTGTCTCTTTCTAAATTAATAATAATATTAGAGTATTACTTTTGAAACAAACTTAATCCCCGTTCTAAAAATTCGTTAAAAAAAGAATAACCATATAAATATTGTTAATGTCTTATGCAAATTCAAAAGTATGAGACAACAGTTAATGATAGAATAAAAAAACAAAAAAAACTAAAAAAACACAAGTGCACCTTGCTTTTATGTATTGTACTTTCTCCAAATGACGGAAAGAAATGTTGGGCTAGGTGAAAGGCTTCTTCACAGACTGCACGCTTGAGTGTGCTCTTATCATCTTCTGAGATTTTCATCACATGTAAAATAATAGAAACCAAATGTAACAAATTAGTTAAAAAGTGAAGATTGATCGAATCCATTGAAGGAGAGGGAGGGTATTAATCCAGAAAATTGAAAGTAAAAAAAAAAAATATATATATATATATATTAATATTTATAACTTGAATTTATAAAAAAATTAAATGAAAAAACATTATAAAATTATATCATTTTAATAAAATATTACAAAAAAGACTAAAATATCTTTTTTTTAAATAATTAGAATCTTTTAATTATTTTAATAAACTTTATTAAATGTGTGAAATTTATATGTAAATGAATTCCTATTATATATATATACACACATGAATGTGAAGAAAATATATAGGGAGTAAAAAAAATTACACCTTCTGGGCATGGAACTATTATTTCCTGATCAATTCAAGTGTTTTTGAAGAAGGTTGAGAATGCAGGTTGCAGAATATGGAATAGAAAAACCAAAAATGATACAATCTGCAAAAGAGAAATGAAATTAATTCTGCTTTAATTTATACTTTATAGCAAAGAGACCAAAAATTTGTCAAATAAATATAAGAATTCGATTTAATTAAATTCTTAAGGGAATTTATTTATATGAATTTCATTTCATTTTCAAACTAAAAGATAAGGAATAAAGGAAACAAGAGTTGACTTAAGGCATAACTTGTATATCTAGAGAAATTTTAGGTTAAAAATACCTAAAAACTCTTAGATCTGTAAAGGACAATGAGAACAAAAAATTGGAGAATTTGATTATCAAGTCAAAACATAATTAAGTAGAGACTATCAACTAACAAATGCATCAAAGATATAATATACAGATTTATTTATATAATGAAATATATCAAAGAACTTCATAAAATCAAACATATCCATTTATGTGGTACATTCAGAATTAAGAGCCTATTTGATGGAGTTTCTTGGAACTTTTACTTTTTTTTACTATTATTTATTGAGTCATAAGTTTAAATTTTTATTAAAGAGAAAATTTAAAAGTTATTTTTAGAAAAAAAAAAGTGAATAAAAAATAAGTAAAAAAAAGTTTACAAAAAGCAAAAATTTGAAACTTTCCAAAATTTATTATTTAAAATCTTTTTAAGATTAAAAAAAGTTAAAAAATATAAGTTTTTAAAAGAGAAATTTAAATTTATAAAACATGAATAGTATCAAAAAGTTGAAGTACTTACAAGTTTCACCAAATATGCTCTAAATATGCTTGCTATGACTGAGCTGACCTTGAAATAAGTAGGAGTAGATACTACCAACTGAAATATATATATATATATATATATATATGAAAATAGTGTCTATCAACCTTACCTCCTAAAAATTAGGAGGAAAATAATCCCAAAACTACGTCGTTTCAATAAATTTTTATTGAAAAAGACTAAACTACCATATTTTTAAAGTATGCATTAAGGTGATTTTTGTAATTTTTCCTCCTAATTTTTTGGAGGTAAGGCGGACAAACACTAAACCCTATATATATTGTCATATGTGTATTCAAAAAATGAGACAAAAATCAATTGTAAAATAGTTAATTTAAAAAAGACAATAATTATAATTTTTTCCAAATGACTAGGAATGACTTTAATAAGGATAAATCTAACAAAAGACTTTTTCACAAATTGCTCGGATCTATACTTTTTAGTTGCTTCAAAGATTTTCAAAGAAGATACAATAAAATTAAAAACTAGATAAGAAAAGCACTCTAAAACCTATTACTTTAGAGGAGAATGAGGAGAAAGGTTATAATTCAAAGAAAAAAAATATACTATATACTAAGCTTAAATAATTTAGTGATGAAGTTAGCAAAACTTATATTAAAATCAAGGTTTTGAGAGAAGAAAAAATCAAGGTGAAAAAAACAAGGAAAAAAAAAACACACAGTGATTGAAATATATATACCAGCTGGTTTAGAACTTGGGCTTCCTCAATTACAAAGGTTTGAAAGACAAATTGCAGATACTAGAGTATGTAGTGGATTTTATCAACATCATGCAATCTGCAGAAAATAATTCAAGTTTAGATGACAAGTGGTACTAAATTGTAGTAGCACATAAAATCAAAGGCTGAAAAGTATATTGGGAAACGGAAAAGAGGACCGAACCATTAGGTGAGGCCATTTGAAGGTGAATCTCATCGGTTGCATAAGAAAATATGTGAGGCAGCAATGAAGATCAGGAAGACGGTGAAAGAAAACAAGTGGAGATTGCTTTTTATATTTGAATCTACTTGGCGGAGAAGAAAAGCAGTGAAAATAAGAAACGGTTTTCCTAACCGTGGAGAATAACCTTGTTTCCTTTTTATTTAAATTAATTATAAAAAAATTTACATAAAAAATATATAAAAGAAAATAAGTGGAAATTATGAGGGTGCTTGGGAAATTTTAAAAAGTAAACTCATTTTAAGTAAATTATTCTTT